AACATCAAATTCATACACCTTTTTATAGCAATCATTTTTTTATATCTCATATGTACTGTGTAAACTCACGTTTATCGTCAATATTTTGTTGTTGTAAAGGTCATTTAAAAGTTATACACTTATCTTCAAAATCCATAAAAGAATATTAACATATATAAAAGAATGAATGAATGAATAAATAAATAAACAAACAAAAATTCAAACATAAAAAAGTAGTCTTCAGTTCATGATATTTTCAAGAGCGTCTTTTTACCATCTGTAAGATTTTTATAACCATGACACGTTTCAATAAAATGAACACATTTATATAGTTTGAGTACGACATTCTTAGAATTGACTTGAAATTCCTGGAAATGAATTCTCTTATTTGTCTTACAGTGGTGTCTCTTGAAAATAAGTAAACTTAAAAGTCTATTACTGAAATGGTTTCTGAAAAAGTAGAAAAAGCTATTATATGCTGATATCTCTATGTCCTATGCTTGTAGTCCTCCAATATTATCTGTTGGTACAGATTGTCTGATAGCCTTATTTTTGAAAAATAACATTTCATAGATGTAATCATTTTCAAATAACCTTTATACATAACAATTCAAATTGTACGAAATGATTTAAAGATCCTGTATGTTTTGTGATTGATATTTTTACTGTGTGAATACCACACTAGCAAAAAATTATATATGTACATATTTATGCAAATAAAACAATTTTCAAACATCGAAGAATATGTAAAATGTGTACTGCAAATATTTGTGCACATTATATTTTATCAATAAATTACAGGCATTCATTTCTTATTGGAAAATTTGACTTAGAATTTATAGAAAATAAATTTCTAATTACCTCCCTTTATTTACATGAAATGTTAAATTGGGTAATATCTTTATAAATAATGCTTATTGGAACTTACAATATTGACAAATCTTAATTTGAGCATCATATTTATGAAATAAAACCATGAAAAAATTGTGTTACAGGATCTTTAAGGCTCCTGATTCACTATATCATTATCATAAAAACCTATTTTTTTTCGTGAAACATTGTCGTATGTTTATTGATTGATAATTTATCTATTTATTTTCATAACAACGTTGCCTTATTTCTCATAATAATAACAACATTGCCTTTTTTTCATCATCACAACAGTGTTGCATTATGTTAATTATCACAACAACTTAGACTTATGTGTCATTAACACAAACATTGTTTAATGTTTCAATTTACAGTAACTCGATCAATTAAAAACAATCGATACCTTGCATTTCTAGATGCACACAAAAGTTTTTAGACTCGTAATTTGGGATATTTGTTATAGTTAGTAAGCTGAGATTTTAATATAGATACTTTATACTATGATTTAATCGAAGATGAAACTTTATTGTTGAAATATTAAAAGTATTTAATCAAGGATCTCTTGAGCGTATTTTCAAATCTAATTTGTATTCGAGTCAATGAGTATTTTCATCTTATCGTTAATGATATACGTTATAAGAATTTTCGTTTAAAGTAAATTGTTCACTAATATATGTATTACAAATTTGTACAAATGAAGTGTCTTTAAATATTAATGAACGTTAATGATATTTATTAAAGTTCAAGTATAATTTATTCTGAAATAAGCTGTGTGGTTAGAACTAAAACATTATTTTCTCTATAATGGATGTTATCCTACAATAATTGTAAGTTTTTTTGCGAAAAAAAATCTGGAAGAAGGAATCATCTGTTTCATGTCTTGATGATGTTTATGTTCCTTGATAGCTGTTAAAAAAGTCTGTAACATATTGCAAATAATGAAATTAATATATAGTTTTATTTCCAAGTTAATATCTGGTGACAATATAAATTGAATTAAACATTTTTTTATGATATAAGTAGTCACTGTATGCCTACATTTTGTTCTACATCTACACCTGACTGAAATAGGTTTTATTCTATATGTCATGTCAAGTGGACTTGTCCATCCTTCAATCTGTCTCAAATTGCCTGTATAGGGCTGATGGGTAGGTGTGATTTGTAGCCAGCAGGCTAAAGGTTAAAAAGGCATCTGAAGGCATGAAATAAAGCTTAAAGAGCTGGCGTGTCTCTAAATGCCATGTTTAAATAAACGGAGAGAATACACTTGTGCAAAAGTTCTCTCCAATAATATATACCATTTTACGGTATATGCGCCTTAAATGAAAGCTGTTTTTCATCCGGTATCACTGATTTCCTTGACAAAACAACAAAACATCATTCTTACTGACAGAAAACACATGATGCCTAACATGAATGACTTGAACAAATAATTTGTTATGTTTTTGATGATGATTTTATTTGACAGAATATTCATGTTATGAATTCAGACAGAGAAATATTGCGGAAATGTTTCCTTATTTCGTACGCTTTGCTATGAGCATATTGGCAGTGTTTTATTACGACACAGAAATGCTTTAACTCATTAAGTTCCTTCGCAACCGAAAATTTATCGAACACCATTTTAAAAGGCTAGCACTTAAATCCGTCGAGTGATTCAGAAAATGTCATATTTGTATTAAATATTGCTCTTTTTAAATAATTTTGTCTTTTTCAGAAAACATTTTGCAACGACAAGCATTGAAAATATAATGCAATGTTCATGTAAACAAATTTCTACAAAAGAAGTCCAAGCTTGATTATTTCAATTTGATAAGCAGAAAACCTTAGAGAACGCCTAAATCGGCGAATTCTAAAATGTTCACGGCTCGTTTTGATATAGCTTGTTCATGGACGGTAGTGGTAAGTGAAAGTTGCTGACTACCCCGAGGCACCCGCTTAAGGGATGTTGCACTTTTTCATTATTACTGATGTACAGACTGCATCAAATCTGCAATTTTCATGTAATTGTGTTGCAATTGATGCTTCCGAGGGATCACAATTAAGATTTTTAATAAAACTTTAACATTTAAACATAATAAGTATAAAATGTTGAGAAACAAAACAAACTTTACACTTTGTTATTGTCCACTGATACAGAATTTCCCAAAACGTAATAATAATTGTTGTTTATTAAGAACCTTACTTTTGGGGTGATATAAGCTGGTACTGTATCTACTCTTTAATGTAACTAAATTAAATTGAATTCAAGAACATGACATTTGAATAGTTCGAAAGTACGGTCAGAGGCATTTTTATATAGTTTTAACTGAAGAATGTTCTACCTCTATTCAGTAAATATGGTTTATGTCATTTGGCTGTGTCAAGGAGTGTCTCCTTAACAAAGCGAGGCTCTTCTTCCGAGCAAAACGAGGTTTTGTATGAAACCTGAAATAATCAGTATTCTTGAATCTTGACTTGTGCATTTCTTAAATATCTATAGTCTTTTTCACTGGGGCCTCCGCGACCGACAATGACTTTGGATTATTTCATGTAAGGAAACATGCCAGCTTGCGTACGGAAGGTCGGTGGTTCATCTCAGATACCATATCGTGGCAGAAATAATTCACGAAGAGATACCTTAAGTCTTTATCCACAGGTAAAGCTGGAAAGTCACCTTTACCTGTGACCTTTCTCGTGCAGGTGTAACTTAAAATTACATATTATACCCTCAAAACTGCAGCACCGCAGCAAATTAAATGTGTGTGTATGTGTGTGTGTGTGTTATTCTTGTTTTGAAATGAGGTTTTAACAAATTTGTCATAAAATAATCATTTAGAGTTTTCTTTATTTTAAATTAAATGCTCTGACAAAGTCTCGTGTATTTTATGTAATGCCACGTTATCACAGGATGCCAGGTAGGAAAAGTCGTTCATAAATCGCTCATAGTGCAAAACGATTATTTTGATACGAATCTTTTATTATCGCAGACATATACGATAACATTTAATTAATTGGACTTCATTGATTAATGCAAGGCTCTCTGTTGTATATCACTTTTAACTAGAATGCTTCCAGATTGGTTCAAAACAAGATAACATTATATGAGATTAATGAACGAAAGGCAATAAAGTAAATTTTTCTAATCTCTTGTCATAAAAAATGAAAACAAAAAATCTTATAATGCACGCGTATGTTGCATTGCTAAAATTATATAGTAGAAAACTTGTGTGATATATCTTGTTCAAGCTTTTATCGCCAGTTTAGACAAGCCTTAAAATATTTTTGTTTCCCCTGCCGCAACCCATTCCTGTTTTGGTAGGGTTTGTATGTACGTAGATTTTTTATCCATAATATTTTTATTGAACATAATTAATATTATTCTGATTTGTATAGATTTCAAAAAGACTTCTTAGCACATCAATCTAATAGGTCAAAAGTTTTATTCCACATTCTTTACGTATTTCAGTCTGTTTATCAACAATGCAAAACCATGGACAAACTCTGCTTCCGTGTCAAGATAAAAATATAATTTTGTTTGATGGTAAAAATATTGATTATAGTGACGGTTGTGATTAGGAAGCGGAAGAAGAAACTATAAGTTACTTAATAAATACTGTAATTTTTACTTATGAAAGTACTCATCGTAATTGTATTGACCGTAACCTTTTATTTTGGTATATTTTTGATAAAAATTAATAAAATTTCATCGGACAAATTCCTAATTACCAAAAACATATGTTCTCATTTGATGTTTAAATTATTCCTTCCTTTAGTATGATATGTTAGGTATTGATAAAATAACTATTTTCCAATTTCAGGTATTTGGTAACAAATATTTGCTGCAGGGAAGACATCTGTTGATAACGAGAACTAATTCAATATATTTCATATTTCAGGTCTAGCGCATGTTTTCTGTTTTCCTGTTTGTATCTGACTTTGAACCTCATCATTTACTATGTTTTCATTGTAATATCGAATTGACAGTATATTACTATTTTATTGCACTAAATTGTCATTTTTCCATAACCTTACTTACCACTTTGTTGTTAAGTTAAACTTTGTTTCAATTTACAACAAAATAAACCAGAGGTATGTGATGATGTTTCAAATTCTGATACACATCTTGCTTTTCGTATGTTGCTTTCAGTGTTGCAATTGCTTACTTTCAGTTGAGGAGTTCTGCAAGATGTCTGGTGTGTTAGCTGTTGTTGTTTTAGGTCTAGCAATGAATTCAGAACGTACCATGATCAGCCCCGAGGTGGAGACATTCCTCCATCGGTAAGAGGTGGCTACTAATCTAGTCTAGACTTGTTTGACCCTTAACCTGCTAAACTTCTTAAATTAATTTGTTCACATCTCATTTTTGGAATTGTCTAGTATCTGTTTTAGGAACATTAAGATCAAAATTAAGAGTAAGACAGCCAACAGTTTAGAGCCTGTCAGACCTCACGGATATATAGACTGGCCTTGCTCAACACAATTGGCAAAGTCTCAGCACTTCCGGTTCCCCAGCAGGATAGGGGTTAATTTAACCATTTTGGATGCTTGTTTTTATTTCTACTATTCTTATTTCTTCAGACTTAATGTAGTTTGATTTTCTGTATGCTATAAAACATGCACCTGGAATCTTTAATGCTATTGTTTCTTTTGCCTGAAATTTTATATTTAGATCTTCGCCCCTTCGTCTTTTTTATAATTTCATATTTCTATAATCATTAGGTTATTTAAGCCTAATTTAATAGTTTGATTAACCTTTGCTTCCTCTTTGTTATAAATTCCTGATGTGAATTATGGTTCACCTTTTCTGTGAAGAAAGCAAAAGAAATTAACCTATACATAATCTATACCCAGGTTTTTATTTCCGTCATGAAAAGAATAAAAAAGAATCAAACCGCTTTAGGTTATGAACATGCGGCTTCAAGATCTATTCTCTTTTAACATTTCTTTCTTTTGTATATTTTTATCTTTCTTTTGTATATTTTTATAGATTAATAACAATTTTATTTATATGAATAAATGAATGAATGAGTGTGTGAATTTGTAACAGGATCTAAACATAACATTTTACTTCTCGAGATAACACAACACGAAGGTCGACTTCAAGACAAGTTTATACTTGTATAGGATACTTTACTTTTGCATTGATCCTTAATTAATTGTAAACTTGATTTATCAACAGTACTTTCCTATTGTTACTTTTGCATTAAGCTGAAAACCCGAAGGCTATCAGATGATGACTAAAATGCAATTATCAGTTTGAGGCAGACACAATTCTTATAGAACTTTATATTTCTTCCAACAGGAGAAATTATTCAGGAACCGTAAATCGTTAGAGGTGTGAATGGTTGATAAATGATTTGATTTGTAGATAAAGCAACCAGTTTTGTAAACGTTTGATATTCTGATAAAATTTATTCAAAAGACAGCTGATTCTTTCTTCATTTTCACACAATGATTTTCATTTTAATTTATACTTTATATCTGTCCATCGACGATTTCTAACATGAAATATCTTCTAGGTATTGTTCGGTTCAACCTGTAAATTGAACTAAATAAGTGGCTTTAACATTGGTTCAAACTCTGCACTGACATGTGTTTCTACTTACACATTTACTTAATGTTCAGGAACAAAAATAGTGCAACATTTTCATTAGAATATGTAGTAGTTATGATTTTGGAAAACGTTTTTTATTTAATTGAAATGTCTTAGGAAAATCAGCCGGCTTATTCTAATATAAGGAGATAAAGCGTAATTGTACTTTTATAACAGATAATAACCCATTTAAAGTGTAAGACTCTGTTTTCATATAACGCAAGCAAATAATTAAAATGGTCACGCAAGAAAACAATCCGGTGAGGTAATTTTCGGTTTCCGAGACAATTTAAGGAGCTGTTTTCAGTGATTATATCATTTGGCAATATTCATATCATCATTATTTTGTCTGAATTTTTCTTTATGCTTTGACATTCTCACATGTTTAAGTACATACTACTTAATCAAAATTATCATATCAGACATGTTAGGGTATATGAATGATTATTGTTGTGATTGAATAATCTCAAAGTGTTCATGCTCAACCACCTTATGACAATACTATTCGTAAATGTTTTAAATATTTCATGGCTGCTACTGGAGAGGAAAACAAATAATTGTGGTTCTTTATAACAGTGTATTATAATGATAACATACAAAACCGAACCTATTTTCATAGATACCTGCCACTTGAAATAAAGACTGGAAAATAAATCAAGGATATTTTGGACATTTCATTCTTTAAGCATTTACTTCCTCAATATATACACAGCATCTTTAGAAAGCGAAGAAATACAATATAACGTCTTGTTAGTGACGTTTTACAAAGGTAAAATGGCAGTATTCCTTTTGATTTCTGAAATAAAATCTAGAGATAGAACAAAACCAATATTTTGTTGATCAAGGTCAAGAACAAATGATGATGAAACCAAATAAATTAATTGCTTCAGCTTTTGTTTAGATGTCAACAATTAACTTTTAATAGTGCCATTCATTTTGCATTTATATTATCTATTAATTAGTTTTTAAAGAGATACTCTTTCAATAGGAACTATAAAGTCATTTGATTTCCATTTAGATTCATTTGATGAAAAGGTCACTTGTCCACTTTGACGCAACAGCTTTTACAATGTCAATTAACATGTTACAGGTCTGAGTATTCAAAAGCAAATATCTCGTCTATCAAATAATACAGTTTTACTATCAACAAGCTATGAATTGTATAAGTGGTAACATATGTTGGTAAGGTAAAATGTACTTTGTCAAAATGAAAATAACATATAAATTGTGGTCGTTGACGACTGATGTTATATTCATAAACAGTATATTTAAAATGTTAACATGTAACATGAAAAATGGAAATGAAACAACATTGTTGTTTTTAGAAACAAATAAATAAATAAATAAATAAATAAACAAGTAAACAAATAAATAAATAAATAAGTAAATGAATAAATAAATAATAAAAGTAATAATGAAATGTTGTTTTATTGTCATCAACATAAACCTATTGTTGCCTCAATGACATACAATTCCAATTTGTCAAATGAATGTCTTAAGTGACCTCAATATCTATAACATTTTAAATATATATTTCAATCATTAGATATTAAATGTACACACAGATTTGACTTTGAATTCTGAATGTGTTTAACATTTATTTCTAACATTTATATCGACATTTATTAAATGACATTATCGAACCTACGTAATACACATGTATGTTTGCCCTAGTCTTATTTTTTTTAATTTACCCCCCCCCCCCCTTTTCCCTAGGTCTCCTGTCCCCTTCCCCTGTGCCCTTTGACTTTGTGGGCCTGTTTTTCAATCATTTATTTGTTTTCTTTAAATTTCTTATCAGGTACAAATTATTTCCTATTATTCAATCATTTATTTGTTTTCTTTGAATACCTGATCAGTTACAAATTATTTATCAGTTTAGTGATTAGCCTGTTCGTGATCTGCCCTGTGCCCTGTCCTGTTTTTGTTTGGGGTTCGCCTGGGCTCCTTGCCACTGGTTCTTGTTGCTGGGTCATGTGGGGGTTGCGTTCATTGAACGCCGCTTTTCCTTGTTGATCTTGTGTATCATATTTTTTTTGCATTGAGTAAGTTGTTAAAATGTTATTTTAGTTCCGGACTTCAAAACATTTATCAACCGAACACATTAATTCAAATGGCAAATTGTTTATGTCTGCCTTACAGCATTTCTTCTTGTCTTTGTCGGAAGTTAAGTTTTTAGAGAATTCCGTCAAACCCACCTATGCTTGAAGAAAACTAATTCCACGATATATACATGAGACGCCTGATTGATTTAGTATCAACAATTTATTGCGTCTCCTGTCAAACATAGACATCTCATCCTCGTTTGATATTTTGAGCAAATAATAATTCCCCATTTCTTCACATACAACTTGTCAAGTTTATACCAGATTCAAACTATTATGTCTACGTGCAATAATAACTTTTTGGGGCCAATAATCTTTGTTTAATCTACTTATTCTATAATTCCAATTTTGACGTAAATACTCAAATAAAATCACTTTTCTGGTGAAACGCAATGCATAAACCGTAAATGCATATCAAATTCATGACTAAAAGCAATTATATTTAAATTATAATTGCAAAGGCACCATACTTGAAAATGTAAACAATAAATACTAATTAAGTATCAATTTAAATTAGCATATCAAACTCAAATTCTCATAAGTAACTTTTTATAAAATCGACCATTAAGCTTAAATTCTAAATAAAAGAAACCGTCCTGTAAAGAAACATTTATTTCAGATCGTAGAGATAAATTTAACTTTTAAGATTATTCGTCTCAAATAGTACGGAACAAGTAACATTTGTCAGATGGGAAAATATACATATAGAACTGGCATTTATTTCTTACCAAACGCATTCCTTGCGTGTCAATAAGCAATGGGATGAATGACGCATCGCATGGCAAAGTCGTAGTATTAGTATAATAACATAAAGCCAAGAAAATTCAGAGATATCAGGAAATATCCAATCGTAAATGCAGATTAGATCCGCCTGTAGGCAAACAAATGTCAGATCTTCGGAAATGTATGTGATAACTACAAGCGAAAATGATGTTTCTTTTGTTATTTGTTGTTTCTATACGTCATTTTGCCTGACTGAACAACAAAAACTATAGCTCTTCATCGTTTTGTTTTAAAATTAAACCCATTAGCTGGTAAATACGTGTAGCAATGTAGAATTTACCCAGAAGTGGGGATCGTGAGTGTTGAATATTAATGATACAGAAGTGTATCAATTTCAAAACTGTGAATTCCTTGTTATTATTATAACTAAAGTCATGTAGACGGACATTTTTAAATGGAAACATTATACAAATCATATTTAAACAAATTCTGCTCTGGGTTTATTCAGAATCCAAAGTTTTCACACTTAATAAAGATATTTCAGTAAAAGAACAATGCTTTATTTCGTATATTGCAATGTTTTCATCAAACCGATCACGAGAATCCGATCACGTTTATCGCTTTTTTATATTTATGAGTTTTAGTTTTGTTTATTTTTGCATGATTTCTTTATTTAATTCTTTTATTTTCAGGTTCCCTGTACAACTTTTATTTAAACCTTTCAAATACATTATAATTCAATAAAGTATTTCTATTTGGGTGAACAGTTTTTTAGAACTGGGTCATTTGGAAAATTCAAGAAACAAAATCATTTTATTAATATTGGGTATTTTCAGTTGAAGACTTTTGCGCGATGTCGGGTATATTAGCTGTTGTAATATTTGGTGTCACTATGAATTTTGAGAAGACAATGATCAGTCCTGAAGTTGAAAGGTTTTTACACAGGTATTTGCCTTTAATTTTTTTAAAGGCATGGCATTTAAATGGTATACAGGGGATGGTAACGAAAACAAATTTTCAACGCTTGATTTTATAGTTTGACGGTTGGTCTAAGGATATTAAGGTTGTCGATTAGCAGATGGTTTTCGGTTAAACAAATTCAATTTCAGCAAATATAACTGCCCAAGTTGTAGCCAAAAGATACCTTACGAGTGCGTTAACTGTGATGCGGGGCTTTTTTCTATGTATAATGCATTTTGAGTTGTGCGAATGACAATATCAATAGAGTACCATGTGGTTTACTTGCTTCTTTAATCATTTAGTTAGTTTTGCTTGCTTGTGCAGATGTAATAATATGATATATGGGAATGTCTATTGTAGAGCATATGATCACATTGCACTGATGTCTATAATTCCTCATAGACTTACTAGTTTTTCACGCTACATATCAAAATATATTTAAAATATCAATAAAAAATCAGTTTCATATAGTTAAGCATAATGAGACATTGCTTTAAACGCTGTAATATTTTACCAATTAAATCTCTATTCACTTCAGTTAACGAAAAACTGTTTTAAACTATTTTAAAGTGTGCAATAGTTAAAATCATTGGAGACTTCAAAATTTCGCAAAATTCTAAATCTGAACATTTTGACTTGTCTTGAGCGTGATTAGAATATCGAAAATCACTCATCTTTTTTGTTTAAGGCCTCTTTTTGTTACAGAGTATTTATCACTTCTAGGTCCGTCAGTCCGTCCGTCTGTCTGTCTGTCTGTCTGTCACAAAACTTTTCTGGAATACACTAGGCTTTTCATCCAAGTTTTACAGGAATGGTCAGTACCAAATCTAGCTGTGCTTATCGTTGGGATTCAAGTTCAATGATTTTTAGTCAGAGTTATGACCCTTATATATTTTTATTTTTTACAGTTTGCCCGGACTGCTTCTCTTATCCGATAATGCAATTTGATTGATACTTTACAGGATTGATTGATAGCTAAAAAAAACTTACACGAGTTTCCGGTTGAAGCATTTTATACAGTTACACAGCTTTATGGAAAAACTATTTATTTTATCACGAGTATTCAATTTGTAATTTGACTTTTGTTAGTTGATACATTTAACACGAACCTGGATGATAATATATAGACTTTTATTTTAACATAAAAAAATCTTTTGATATAATATTTGTTGCAAAAATGCTTTTACAAGAAACAACTAGAGTGCACAACAATATTTAGACAAATATCATAAAAAAAGAAAAACAATACAAAAAGCACCTTATAGGAGCATCCAAACGAGTCTGGCTTGATTACAGTATGTTATTCTTGTGTTAAATAAATTACTCATGAATTCAAGAAAACATAAGAATAATAATATCTTTTATGCATTTCGACTGATTTAAATATTTTGAGACATAAAATAACAAGAATAAAGATATAATACTTATTTTCAAGTGTTCATTTATCACATTTTCTGAAACAATTATTCACCTGTAAAAACACTGTGGTAATCTGATGCCGCAGAGACACATTTCTTAAACATAAGTGTGTAACCCTTTCTAGCATCTTGAAATCTAAAAGAATATAATAATGGTACAAAAAATTCAAATAAATAAGATAGTCTTTCTAAAATGTGTGCCAAAGTGGAGAAGTTTTGATAACTTGTTGGAGAGTATTGGATATAAAAAGATATAAACTGATATGGTGCAAAACAAACAAGAAATACGAAAACCACTAACATTACAGTTATAACACCGCGAGTGTTTGATGGCTGGCGGTTTGTTGAAGAGTTTGTTGCTTTAACAGCCAAGAATATTATTATCAATAATACAATAAACACTGGAATGCATATAAATACGGAAACTTTAAATATCCAATTGAATGAACGTATATACACATAGCTTGGATATATTGAACAGCTGCTCTCGTGGCTGTAAACATTAGTTGCTTCAGTTAATGTCAGAAAATTAAAGGTAATCGCTAATGCCATAATCACCAGAGAAATGAAGGCGTTAATAAACAAAAGCTTGTTAGTCCTTCCTTGTGTAACTATTGAAGCATATCCTAACGGATTTGTAACTGCTAAGCATAAATCCAAAATGATGGATGCTAAGTTGAAATATACATACAGATACAAAACACATCTGAGAACTTCAAACATTAAACACGTAGCTTCAATTCCACTCCCAATCGGATTACTATAATATGCAATCATGTACACTAGAAAATTTAATGAAAATAAGAAATTAGCTACGCATAAACTTAGAATGAGACGTATGTTTGGTCTGGATGACCAAGGCAAGTGTAAGAGCGCAACAATGGTCGTTGTGTTGAGAACCATTCCAGCAACAGATATAATAAGTACAAGAACATTCAATACGTTGATAGTTACTTCTTCAGCATGACCAATGGCGGTTTCATTTTGATCCATTATAAGAAATATGACTGCTTCAGTGGCATCCTGTTTATATGTTCATGCTGTGTTTATTATTTTATTTGCATTTGTTTCGATTGAGCAGTAATATTAACATAATGCGATATATTGAAAAAGAATATATATATAAATATCCTCTTTGTTTTCTTTTTCGGTTGTCTCAAATGTGTTTACGTTAAAAAATCCCTCAGGTCGTTCCACCGATTGAATAGTACATCAATTAATACTCAAACACTAAAATTAAACAAAATAAACACATTTCAAATTGAAAGACACTTTCAAATGAGATTAACTCTTTGATTTTCGTTTATATACATATCTAATTCCATTTGGTTTAGTCGTTGTAACCGTTACACCATATTTAATTGACCATGATTTGATCGATGAATTCTGTAGCCTTTTATCTATGTAAGTTCACTTTATCAAACTTCAGTGGAATGATTTATTTTGGACACGAACTAGCATAACTTTGAAAAACTGGTTACAACTGATCATTTTGATTATTATTCCGGAATATGTTTTATCCAGTATCAACTCCAGGTGATTTATACTTGAAAAGAACTATTGGCTTTTTACTGTAGAGTGTCTAGAGTGAGAGAGCTCTACTTTGTTATAGCAGCGGTATCTATTCTGCCTCCAACGATTTTATCGGTAAACCTGTACGTATTAATACCATCCTGCAGACATTTGTTTCACATAGTATTCTGAAAAAAATAATGGGAATAAAGAGAATTAAGATTAATACAAGTGCTTATTGACAACAGGTTTTCTAAAATATAATATTCTGTAAATGAAACGCAATTAAACAGCATGATAATTGGTTTGACGTTGTGTGTATTCTGAATTTCATGTTTTGTTCAAATCCTCTTGGTGTTTTTGCTATTTTAACTTTAAGAATTGAGAAAAAAAACCAAGGGTATCAATTCCGAAAATTATACAATACATATTCCAATGAATGGCCATGGCACATATTTGAAATATATCTAAAAGGTTCCTATAGTTGAATATAAATAGGTTCCATTTATTGAACTATTCATGACATTAAAATAGGCATACATATATTGATATATTATTGTAAAATCAGAGACAAAGAAGACTTAGAGATTTAAAACAATGTATATATCCCCAAATGGTATTGATAATCTGCCAAAAAGTGATTGATACTCATACTTTTTAACTCTTGTATGGTTTTAATTTTTTTAAATACATGTTTGTATATACATGTATATATTTATTGCATGTGACTGGGCGGTTTGAATTGAGATCTTTACAAAGTTGTATCAGTTTATTGAGCTTTGCAAAGAAACCAGTTTAAAGCAAAAAAAGTCAAATACGTTACGGCGTTTTTGCTGCTGATTTATATTCTTTTCTTCTTTTTTGTTAATTTTTGTTAAGAATAAGCATTAAAATTGTTTTATTTTAAATACATACAACTTTACTGCAACATACTTTACGGCGGAATCATAGAGAGTATTTTAACGAAAAAAATAAGCAAATTTCTAAAAACAGCTATTCTTTCTAATTTAAATATTTAAATGCTTTTTATTTTCTTATTATAAAACAATCAGAATGTATTTTTTTAAAGAATGAGTCAGTTATTTTAAGAATGATTCAACACAGACGAAAAGGCCCAGAATTATATATTTAGTTGTTTCTAAACTCATATTGTTTCTTGAAATAAATGTGAATAATAACAGTTCATTGTTTACATCTGAGAAATACATTACTGCAGAATTAAAACAGCTCTCGGTTAGTTTTTGCCATGTCATGTTTAGGGAATTATATAAAAAATTGTACGCGTTAAAAATAAAAAATAAAATGGAAAGGTTGCGTTTATTTTGCGATAAATTTGTTTTCAATGCTTTACTAATTTGCCATTGCTATTTTCTAAAGTAGAAAACTTGAAGCAAACTCAAGGATGGTTATATGTTTTTTTTATATATAAAAATCCTAATATAAATATGAATACATTCGATTCTGTTTTCCAACACACACGGAAGTCTTAAAGTACTTCGCACTTAGCACACGATTTTGCACAAAAATGAAAAGAATCTTTTATGCCGACTTCCTTGTAATTATGATAAGTACAACAACAACAACAATACATTTTATTGATTTGACCAGTTACAGATCATCATCATACAAATTCCATTGACATACATGTATACGTGAAAGTAGAAGTGTAAAATAAAAAAAAATATATATAAAAAGAAAAAGAAATATTGATTATTATCGCTCCACGAGTGTTAAATGGAGGTTGAACATTGTATATATAAATTCCTGCCATCGTACAGTACATACAGAATTGCAATAATATCATATATTTAATTAAGTTTGCTTTTTAGTTAAGTTGTATAGTTAAAGAGTTTACAATAGATTGTTATAATTCTTCAAGAATATATTGAAATACAAAAACGAAAATATATTTAACAAAAACTTAGTAAAATATACTGCATTGTATCACCAATTAACTAGAGTCTTGCGCAATGCAAAAGCTTCATATATAAATTTACCAAGATTTAGCAGTGTATGCCTATTAGAAGATTGCATCAATTTAACAAACTTATGAACACTTGGTCTATTATAAAAATATGGTTTAATGAAACGTTTTCTAAAGTGTAAATAAATCGGACATATTAACACAAAATGGTATTCGTCCTCTACATCATTTTTATCACATAATAGACATAAACGCTGGTTTCTATCCACACGATTTCTGCCATAAGTAACAAGTACTTATGAACGCATTACATCTATGTTTTTTTTGTGCTGTGTAATTATTTAGAGACTTGTATCCCTACTAACGGTACAAATTATTATAGGGCTACTTAAGTGTCTGAGAATTATTTTGTTTGCTCTCCATTCACAATACTCAATGTTCACGCAGAATTCCATAATAACAAAAGCTGCAACAAAACATATTTATCCATTAAATAGATATGAAAGTTCAATCTTCAACACTTTGCAAAATTCCACCTTGATCAAATGTATCAGGTCTAAAAACTTCATTGTTGGCAAAAACTTTTCTGTTTTATAAGTCATTCTAATTTTTTTGCGTGTTCTGTAAATGAAACCATACTATAAGACTTCGTGCCTGAAAACATTTCTTTTCATTCACGGCTATTGTAAAGCAGACAATAAACATCTTGAAAGTAAAATCTCTTTATCAACTGAGTAATTAGCTTTTATGTAGTGTTTAGTTTTAAGTCTCTGAGTTATAGCCCCCTTGTTGGATAATTAAAATTAGTTTGCTACACACATAAGGAAATATTCACCTCTATCGTATTGACGTAGGGGGTGTCTTGAACCTGTTGACGGACGTCAAACAAGATGGTTTTCGGTCAATTACTTAAGTACAGATTCACTTATCAAACTTGTAACATAGCAAAGACCTCGGTAGGGATCGCTAGGGTTTAATCCAAGGTTACTGTTCTTAAAAAAGCAGGACATTGATTTACGGTCAATAACTTGAGTTTTGAATGATATATTTCAATGGCACCTGGTGTAAAGCAAACCTATATAAAGACTTCGCCTAGGATCAGGGTCACTGTTACTTAAAAAGAAATCGGTTTCATTTCATTAACTAGAGTTTGTGATGAGATTTTTCAATGAAACTTGGCAAAGCATGTAAACACCTCGATTTGGATTTCTTTTGACCCCTATAGGGTTGAGGTCAAGGTCACTGCTCATAGAAATAGAAAATAAGTTGCCGATCAACAACTAGAATTTGGAATGAGATAGTTCAATGAAACTTGGTGTATAGAAAGTTACGTGTAAACCTCGCTTGGGATCGCTTAAATTCCTAAATTACATTTAGTTACATAGAACGTTGCTTGTATTTGTATTCCAACCAGAACAAAACTTTCTACAGTGGTGATAATTGAAAACCGTGTTCGGGGCATTGTCACATTTCTTGTTTACCTTCTTTATACTTGTATATATAATTATATTAGGGAAAATAAGTTCATGCAACATACGAGTCTTTTTTAAAAGTCATATTGTATCGCTTTTGAGATTGCTTTGTATTGTTAATCGTGTTGACATTGTTGCTAAAAAGGACACAGTGCCTTCATTTTCTCGTTATTTTCGGTATTGTTCTTTTTGAATGGCAGTTTTATGTTGTTTATAAGGAGCGACTGAACATATAAAATGAGATTGGATCACCGCGACACAGGCTAGCTAAAAGCTAAAACAAAATTAATTTAATTTTATGTCGAACAATCGAAGAATAAAATAACTCTATATTGAATTGTATGTCCGCACTTTCAGTATCATATTATCACTAATTTGTCTTAAGGAGAGAATAGCTATAAACAAAAGTGCGCTATCAAATGGCAATTATCAACACGATTCTTCTTTTAGAGACATATTGGAGGTATCTGCTAACAAAATTTCTTGAACGACCATGTATTGCTTTTAAAGATATATTAATCAAACATGCTTTTAACAATGTTAGAAGAAAAAAATCAATACGACAAAATAGCAGAAACATCAACAAATACAAAATAAAAAGCGAAAGACGTCGGAAAAAATGTATATTATATTATGTATAGGTTGTAATGTATATACATTGAAAGCACACATACACACACACGCACGCACGCACGCACGCACGCACGCACTCTTCTGCTTTTTTGTCAACAATTTTTACATTTATTTTTTATTAAATTTTCACCTAGCAGTTTATTTTCAAATTGCAAACAAACTTATGTGTAAAAACTACTAGAATTTATTGACGATAATGTTATAAAGGTGGTAATAACAGACAAACGAAATACTTTAGCTGTTTCAAAAGGATGTAGTTTGTAATTATAGTCGTAGTTTTAAGAATTATGTCTGCAACAGCAAAATATCTGACTGTGTACATGTTCCTTCGTTTGCAATATATTGTCTTGTGAGACATAACCTTTTTTCAGCTATTTATTTTTAAGAAAGAAATAGAGGAACAAAAATTCTTTTTTGTCACAATTAAATACAACTTTAATGTTATTAAAATATTTTCATTGTATAGGATTTAAGAAAGTTAATTTTCTTCGTGTTGTTTTCGAGATGTAATATTTTAAAAGATGTTGTTTTTTATGACAGATCCTATTCATAACCGAAAACATTATCAACATGGAAGAAAGTATGTTAGTAGACAAAATTCATTGATAAAGGAAAGCAGTAAAATTGAAGCATTTAATTCAATATATCTATCTGGAAAATTATGAATTTGAATTTGTATAAGCTTTAATGCTTTCTTAAAATAAACATTGATTTCTACTTAAAGTAAAATCTTATTTAACTTTTATATTTAGAGAGGAAAAAAATCTTAACAAAAGTAAACGATGTTTTCACATGTGACAAATAATAATTTTATTCATATTGTCACCCAGTTAAAAATTCATTTTTTTATATTTACTTATTAAAATAGCACTAGAGTGAAAACAGTCTTTCAGCTCGGAGAAAAAAAAATCATGATTCCTGGTTATGTTTTATTGGTTATTTCATTGTAACAAAAGTTATAAAAGTTGAACTTTGAAACGTTCATAGATAAACATATGTATGAAAAAGTTCAGACAGTACAAACAAATGAATTACGAACAAATTAAAAATGCATGTTAGACACACTATAAAATGTCTTGTACCAGACATTACTCTTAAACTTCCCAGGTATATGTGCCAGAAATTACATAACATATTATGAAAAAGGCAATAAAGTATT